GCTGAGGAATGGAACCCAGGGCCTCATGCATGCAAGGCAAGCAATCTACCACTGAGCCACCTTCCCAGCCCCCTTTACCACTTTGAGCCACAGCACCACTTCTGGTTTTCTGGTAGTTATTGGAGATAAACAGTATTACAGACTTTCCTGCCCAGGCTAGCTTTGAACCTTGATCTTCAGATCTCAGCTTCCTGAGTAGCTGGGATTACAGGCTCGAGGCACTGGTGCCCAGCTTAGTTGCAGTTTTAATGACATTTTACCTAACTGTCCATCAAAGATTATTATTTTTCTAATTACTTGTTACCTCACATATTTAGTAATATTTTCTTCTGGGTTCCATATGCCCAAAGAACATCTAGAATATCATGTTCTAAAAAGGCCGTTCCTTACACGAACAGAGCAGGAGGTCTGAAAACTGGAGCCTGATGCCATTTGGCGTCTCCGGCTCTGTCAATTCTGTGACATTAAATGATTTTTCGACAGACACCTTCCCCCTCCACCCCCCCCCCCCCCCCCCCCCGCACCTCCGCCTCAATTTCTCAACAGTATCCTGTCCCGGTGATTCTCTTCACCTCTCAAACCCTGTGCCAAGTTTTCGCCCGTAAACTAGTACATTGCCATTAGCAAACAAACAACAAAAAGTCCCATCTTTACGAGAGAAATCTCTCATTTAACCCCCAACCCCCCAGACTTGTCCTGTTTTATTACCATCTTCTTATTGTTTTGCTATCCTGGGGAGATAGAGATAAAAATTTATATATAGACAGCTATGGCTTTACCTCTTCTTCCCTCTGGTTAAAAGTACAGAGATATGAGGCAGTAGGATCTCAAGTTCCACACTAGGTTACGTGGCAAGATCCTGTCTTGAAAAATAAAAGGAAAGGGGAAAAGAACTCAGGAACGAGGGACCAAAGGAACATTCCTTACAAAAAAGATAGCACACGGTCTTACTATCCCGAATGCACTTGATGGGAAGAGTAAAACAATCTTCCAGGAAGGCACAGCGCCCTTTCCCAGGCCCATCTCCACACCTCCCCCCAACTCTCCCCTCCCCGCTCCAGTCCCGGCCCCAAGCGGGTTTCTCCCTGAGCGCAGTCAGACTCAATAAGGAGGAGGAGGAAGATTTCTGTTGCTTAGCCTGAGAGGGAAAGTCCTAAAGAGGCATTTTTGACAAAACATTGGCAGAAGGAAAGAGGATGTGTATGGTAGTCCGCAACACAGACGCCCGCATAGACTCAAAGCACTACTTGTCTCTCTCCCTTCCCTAGCTTCCGCCCACCACTCTGGCGGATCCGTCTCCAGGACACCTCCGATATCCCGTGAGTCTCCGTGGGTTCCGTTTGGACCGATCTAGTTTTCTTGTACTCGATGGTTTGTCTGCCTCACTGTCCAATCAGGTGCGTTCCTGCTGGGCTCCCAAGAGGCTTTGCTGCCGTAATGGCTGCCCCCAGCCGGTGTGGAGTTGGGGTGTTTCGGGGGGTCCTAGGGATCTGGAAGCAGGGTCCCGATTCCGCGAAGGGATGGGTGGCCCCGATCCGCTCCCTTCTAGGTTGTCAGAGGAGGTGCGTGTCTTGTGTCGTGGGCACTTTCGCCAGTCCCCGCCTGGCTCCTGCCTCTCACCGTTATGGCCAAGGCTCAGCTCTAGACCGCTTCCTCGGAATCACTCAGCCTGACAGTTCGCTGACTCCTCGCGTCCCAGCCGTGTCCATGTGTAAAGGTAAAGGGCTTCATGTAGTTTTCGGTTTTTTGTTTTTTTTTGTCGGTCGTGGGGCTTGAACTCTGGGCCTGGGCACTGTCTCTCAGCTCTTCAGCTCAAGGCTAGAGCTCTACTCCTTGATCCATAGCGCCTTTTTCTGTTTATGTGGTACTGCAGAATCGAACCCAGGGCCTCATGCACGCGAGGCAAGCACTCTAGCGCTGAGCCACCTTCCCAACACTCGTATAGGTTTTGTTTGTTTCTTTGCTTTTTGTTTGCTTGTTTTGAGCCAGGATCTCACTACATAGCCCAGGCTGGCTATGAACTCGAGATCCTACCTTGGCCTCCCAAATGCTGGAATTACAGGAGTGATCTAATTGGATTTTCCTATGCCTGGCATGGTTTTAGCATGGAAAGTTCCTTGTCAGGGAAACTTCACTGTCTTTGGGGATATTTTTTTTGACCGATTTTTTTTTTTTTTTGTGGTGGAAAATAAATTGGGAGCTCTGCAAGAGAGGGATACAATCTGCTCACAACCAGAGATGCTCACTAAAGATCAAGGTGCAAACTGCATTGTGGCCTTCTGCCAACAAATGCCAACCAATAAACACATGTTGAGCCCTGTCTAATTATCAAGACACTTGTGGTGCACTCCTGTAATCCTAGCACTGGAGAGGTGGCGGCAGGAGGATCTCAACAGTTAGAAGCCAACTCCAGCAATAATAGAAAGACTATCTCCAAAAACAAAACAAAAGGCTGGATGCTAGTGGCTCCTACCTGTAAACCTAGGTACTCCGGATGCTGAGATCTGAAGATTGCTGTTTGAAACCCAAGCTGGAATGTCTGTGAGACTTAACATCTCCACTTAGCACAAAAAGCCAGGAGTAGAGCTCTGGCTCAAGTGCCAAGCACTAGCACTTGTAAAAGCTAAGCAAAGTCAGGCGCCGGTGACTCACATCTGTAATCCTAGCTACTCAGGAGGTTGAGATCTGAGGATCGAGGTTCAAAGCCAGCCCGGGCAAGAAAGTCTGTGAGACTCTTCATTTAACCACCAGAAAACCGGAAGTGCTGCTGTGGCTCAAGTGGTAGAGCGCTAGCCTTGAGCTGAATAGCTGAGGGACAGTGTCCAGGCTCAGAGTTCAAGACCCATGAATGATAAAGGAAAAAAAAAAGCTAAGCAAGTGTATGGAGCCCTGAATTCAAGCCCAGGTATGGGCACACACACTCACACACAAAGCCCATCATGTGGTGCAAGCTTGTAATCCTAGCTACTTGAGAATCTGAGATATGGGGTATCAAGCTTGAGGCAAATTGAGGTAGAAAATTTCACTAAATGTCATCTCCAAAATAACCAGCAACAAACAAACAAACAAACAAACAAATAGGGCTTGAGGCTATTGATTAAGCATGAGGCTCTAAGTTCAAAACCTGAGTACCACTACTAAAACAAAAAACAAATAGCCAGGCTTAGGTGGCTCATACCTGTAGTCCTAGCTACTCAGGAGGTTGAGATCTGAGGATCGAGGTTCAAAGCCACCCAAGGCAGGAAAATCTGTGAACTTAGGACCCAGGTGCTGTCCCTGAGCTTCTTTTGCTCAAGGCTACCACTTTACCACTTTGAGCCACAGGGCCACATCCAGTTTTCTGGTGGTTAATTGGAGATAAAAGTCTCATGGAGCTGGGCACCAGTGGTTCATGCCTATAACTCAGGAGGCTGAGATCTGAAGATGGTGGTTCAAAGCCAGCCTGGGCAGAAAAGTCTGTGAGACTCTTCAGTTAGCTACCAGAAAACCAGAAGTGGTGCTGTGGCTCAAGTGGTAGAGCGCTTGCCTTGAGCTGAAGAGCTCAGGGACAGTGCCCATGACTGACAAAAAAAAAAAAGTTTCCTGGACTTTCCTGCCATGGGTGGCTTTGAACTGCAATCCTCAGAGCTAAGCCTCCTGAGTAGCTAGGATTACAAGTGTGAGCCACTGACACTCAGCTTTTTTTTTTTTTTTTGTCGGTCGTGGGTGGCTGAACTCTGGGCCTGGGCACTCTCCCTCAGCTCTTCGGTACAAGGCCAGTGCTCTACCACTTGAGCCACAGTGCCACTTCCTCCTTTTTCTGTTTATGTGGTGCTGAGGAACTGAATTCAGGACTTCATGTGCAAGGCAAGCACTCAACCACTGAGCCACCTTCCCAACCCATTTTTTAAAAACCAAATAAAAACTCTTGATTTTTATTATATTTCTGATTTATTATTATTATAAAGTTGATGTTCAGAGGAATTACCATTTGATGTTAGTCTCAAATTCATTGTTCTTCCTACTCAGTCTTCCAAGTTCTGGATTACAGGTGTGTACCAACTGTGCCTGGCCTACATGATTGTTTCTTATTGAGTTACCAATTGAAAAAGGTTAAAATAGATTCCATTAATGTCAATTCTACATATGAAAAAAACTAAGGAGCTTAAAGGTAGCCAAGTTGATAAAAATAAACTACAGGCCAAACTGAGTCATTAAAGTTGGGTATAAAATTCTTCACGGTACACTAAGCTTTTGTGTATTAGTGCATCTGTTGGTATATTGGCTTGAACTCCTTTTGTTTGCAGGGCTAGCATACTACCAAGCCTCTGGTCAGCATTTTGCTGGTTAGTTGAAGGTAGAATCTTGAAGACTTTTCTGTCAGGCTTGCTTGCTTTGAACCATGATCTTCAGCCTTTTGAGTAGCTAGGATTATAGGCATGCTGAGCCACCAGCACATAGCTTGATATTCTAATTTTGTATCCTTATTTTCTTGTTGGGAGGGTAAGGTAGAACATGTGTCAGGGAGTTCAAATTCTACTATGTCTCTCTCCTCTCCCCATCCAAACACAGATGAGCAGGATCAACTCTTGATTCAGTCCCCTGACATGCCTGAGAATTCTCGGGTTCTACGAGTGGTCCTCCTGGGAGCCCCAAATGCAGGGAAGTCAACGCTCTCCAACCAGCTGCTGGGCAGAAAAGTATGGAGCATCTTTACCTCCTCCAACCCATGTCCTTTTAATCTCTTACTTCTTGCTTTGCCTTCATGGAGGAATCTGGGATCTCACTGGTACATCTTTGTTCCTGGCAGGTATTCCCTGTGTCCAAGAAAGTTCACACTACTCGCTGCCAAGCTCTGGGGGTCATCACAGAGAAAGAGGCGCAGGTGGTAGGTATCTAAAAGGGAACTCTGAAAACAGGACAGAAGGTGGAGCTAAACAAGTCTTCTTTGCCATTAGGCTTACAGAAAACAACGCTAACTAACATTCACTTACCAGCAGTTCTGTCTCTACTTTCCTCTCTTTGCCATCTAATCTGAAGTATCATTTCCTCTTTACTATTTCCCTTACTACATTCCTTCTTGTTTTTGTTTTAATTTGTGTATGTGTGTGTGCCTGTGTGTATACATATGTATGTCTGTTTGCCAATACTTGGGCTTAAACTCAGGGCCTGGATGCTGTCCATCCTAAGTAGTTAAGATTACAGGTGTGAGCTACCAGTACCCAGCCACCAGTGCCATAGTCATCATCTTTCTCTGGGATCCCATCTAGAATTGACACAATGCTGATGAGTAAAAAAATCTAAAGTCAGGAGCAGCTTAGCTACGAGGGGAGGGCAGACTGCTGCCGTTAAAGATGACCTCTCGGGCTGGGAAGGCGGCTCAGTGGTAGAGTGCTTACCTTGCATGCATGAGGCCCTGGGTTTGAGTCCTCAGCACCACACAGGCAGAAAAAGCCGGAAGTGATGCTGTAGCTTAAGTGAGCTGAAGAGCTGAGGGATAGTGTCCAGGCTCAGAGTTCAGGCCACATGACTGGCAAAAAAAAAAAAAAAAAAAAGATGACCTCTCCAAGGCAAAGCTCACTGGTAAAACACCTAGTATATGTGAAGCCTTGGATTTGATCCTCAGCACCACAAAAAGAAAAAAGAAAAAAAAGGTGACTGTCTCTCCTCCCTATTTTTTTTTTTTTTTGGTCAGTTGTGGTGGGGCTTGAATTCAGGTCCTGGGCCCTGCTCAAGGCTAGTGCTCTACCACTTGAGCCACAGTGCCACTTCCAGTTTTTGAATGATTAATTGGAGCTAAGAGTCTCACAGGGACTTTTCTGCCCTGGCTGGCTTTGAACCACAATCCTCAGATCTCAGCCTCCTGAGTAGCTAGGATTACAGGCTTGAGCTACTGGCCATAATGTTTTTATCTAAGTATCTTTCTTTCTTTTTTTAAGATTCTGCTTGACACACCTGGCATCATCAGTCCTGTTAAACAGAAGAGGTAGTTGCTAAGGAAACAGGTGGTGGGGGGCAGGGCAGGAGGGTAATTAAAGAGAGAGTGGGGAGATTCCATCATGACCAAACCTCTTACCATACCCCACTGCTCAGGGCTGGGAATGTAGCTTAGTGGTAGATTGCTTGCCTAGCATGCATGAAGCCCTGGGTTCAATTCCTCAGTACCACATAAACAGAAAAGGCCAGAAGTGGCACTGTGGCTCAAATGGTAGAGTGCTAGCCTTGAGCAGAAGAAGCTCGGGGGTAGTGCCCAGGCCTTGAGTTCAAGCCCCAGGTCTTGGGGGAGGGGGAGAAGTATCAGTCATTACATCTTGACTAGCATCTGTTTATCCCATAGGCACCATCTGGAGAGCTCTTTGTTGGAAGATCCATGGAAGAGCATGGAATCTGCTGATCTTGGTTAGGCTCAAGATGGAATCTTAAGCCCAGTTTATGGGGCCTTTCATTCCTGGTAGTTTGGGGGTTGAGGTTTGGCCCAAACCCATATTATGGAAGTTTTTGTCGGTCAAAGGAAATAGTGGTTATATCCTTGTCCTTCTACCTGCCCTGCCATCTTCCAGTTGTAGTTCTTGTGGATGTCTCAGATAAGTGGACTCGGAATCGACTCAGCCCCCAGGTGCTCCAGTGTTTGACCCAGTTCTCCCAGGTTCCAAGTGTCCTTGTCTTGAACAAGGTAAGCACTGACTACCTGAGGGAACAGTGTGCTTCCTTGAGAGGCCTCCAACTCACTAACCACACACTTTTCTCATCCCATGCCCAGGTAGATTGCCTGAAGCAGAAGTCAGTTCTCCTGGAGCTTACAACAGCCCTCACAGAAGGTGTAGTCAATGGCAAGAAGCTCAATATGAGGCAGGCCTTCCGCTCATATCCTGGCACCCATTGCCCCAGCCCAGCAGCTAAGGACTCAAACACACAGTTTGTGGAAAAGACACAGAAGATTGGCTGGCCCCATTTTCAGGAGATCTTCATGTTGTCAGCCCTAAGCCAGGTGGATGTGAACACATTAAAGGTCAGTTAACCTTGGCTGTAGTACTTGGTTTCTGCCATGTTAAGATATGACTCAGGCCCAGTGCTGGTGGCTCACACCTGTAATCCTTGCTACTCAGGAGGCTGAGAACTGAGGATCACAGTTCAAAGCCAGCCAAGGCAGGAAAGTCCATGAGACTCTTTTTTTCTTTTGGGGGGGGGGTCCGGTTGTAGGGCCTGAACTCTGGGCCTGGGCGCTGTCCCTCAGCTCTTCAGCTCAACCCTGAAGCGCTCTACCACTTGAGCCACAGCGCCACTTCCGGCTTTTTTCTTTTTGCTTATGTGGTACTGAGGAATCGAACCCAGGGCCTCATGCATGCAAGGCAAGCGCTCTACCACTGAGCCACCTTCCCAGCCCTCCATGAGACTCTTTGTTTGTTTGTTTGTTTGTTTGTTTGGGTCCGGTCGTGGGGCCTGCATTCTGAGCCTGGGCACTATGCCTCAGCTCTTCAGCTCAAGGCTAGCACTCTACTACTTGAGCCACAACGCCACTTCCGGCTTTTTTTTTCTGCTTATGTGGTACTGAGGAATCGAACCCAGGGCCTCATGCATGCAAGGCAAGCACTCTACCACTGAGCCACCTTCCCAGCCCCCTCCATGAGACTCTTATCTCTAATTAACTACCAGAAAACCAGAAGTGGCGCTGTGACTCAAGTGGTTGAGTGCTCGTCTTGAGCTGAAGAGCTGAGGGACAGCACCCAGGCCCAGAGTTCAGGCCCCATGACTGACCAAAAAAAAAAAAATGATATGACTCAGATTTCTGGAGAAGCCCTGATTAGGGCTGAGAATATTCACCTATTCCTTTCCACAGCAATATCTCTTGGCACAGGCCCAGCCAGGGCCCTGGGAGTTCCATAGTGAAGTCCTCACTAGCCAGACACCCGAAGAGATCTGTGTCAACAAAGTTCGAGAGAAGCTTCTAGAACACCTACCAAAGGAGGTGCCCTATGGTGTGCAGCAGGTATGGGCAGAGAACAAGAGATCTGGGCTTCTACCCAAGGCCCACACCCAGAACAATACAAGAACCAAAGTGATGAGCCTATCTGACTAGTTATGATATCTTCCTGTACAGAAGACAGTGTTATGGGAGGAAGGACCGAATGGGGAGCTGTTGATCCAACAGAACCTTCTGGTACCCAAAGAATCTCATATGGTAAGTGAAGCAGGCTTGGAGGAGAGACAAAGGCTAGGCTAAGGTGTTTTTCCTTTGCTTAGAAACCCTGAGGACAATATCCCACTCTTTTACCCATTTCAGAGGATCCTGATAGGTAAAAAGGGCCAACTGATCTCCCAAATTGCACAGGAAGTGAGTCGGGACCTCATGGACATCTTCCTCTGTGACGTTCACCTCTGCCTCTCTGTGAAACTCCTCAAGTGAACACCTTCTGTTGCCCCTCTCAGGGCATCCCAGCTCAAGCAGCTAGCGGGAGTCACAGACTATACCTGCGTGCAGAGCCTGGTGAGGAATATGGACACTGACTAGCCACCGTTTGACCTGGCTTTGCTGAGTCTGCACAGTCCCAGCAATGTCTCCTTTGGAGGAAAGAACCTGCCTGAGTTCAGTTCCTGTGTAATTTCTCTGCCTGGGCCCACAATTACATAGGTCTCAGACTTTGGGCCTACAGTGGAAGCAGCACCTCCATTCCGCAGGTCACATTGGGCCCAGAGTCTCACCCTGAGAAGCTAATTGTTAGTAAAGAAGAGATCTTTCTCTTCTCCCCATAGTTCCTTCACCTTGAAGAAATATAAAAACATGTTTCTTTTTGGCATATGTGTGCCAGAACTGGGGCTTGAACTCTGGGCTTCACACTCTCAACATGTTTTTCTCAAGATTGCTGTTCTACCACTTGAGCCTCACCTCACTTCTAGCTTTTTGCTGGTTAATTGGAGATGAATCTCTTAGATTTGTCTGCCCGGGCTGGCTTTCAACCTTGATCCTTAGAGTTTAGCTTCCAAAGTAGCTAGAATTACAGGCATGGGTCATGGGCACCCAGCCTAAAACTCATGTTTTGTTTTTTTGCCAGTCCTGGGGCTTGAACTCATGACCTGGGCACTGTTCCTGAGCTTCTTTTTGCTCAAGGCTAGCATTCTACCACTTGAGCCACAGCACCACTTCTGGCTTTTCAGTTTATATGGTATTGAGGAATCGAACCCAGAACTTCATGCATGCTAGACAAGCACTCTACCACTAAGCCACAATCCCAGCCCAATCCATGTTTCTTGAGTAAAATAGTGCTGTTGCCCTGTTCTCCCAGGTCCTTGATCTCTCCAACCCCATCCATCTGCCCAGTGTTGGGTGCTAATAAAATCACAAGACATCTATTTTGGTTCTCATCTTTATTTCTTTAGGACAGGAAAACAAAAATGTATCTGTTCCCTTATCCCTATCCCCAAGTTAAACTGAAGTTCCCCCCCTTCCCAGAGGTCTGCTCCAGGGTCCTGAGCTCTTCCTGGCACGTTTTTGGAAGCAGCAACAGAACCGTTACCATTACTAAACTCAGTAATGGTAACGGTTTCCTCGCCATTTCCAAGTGCTCTAGCAGTCGGCAGGCTGTGACAGTCTGTATGATGAGCCCCATGGGCTTGCAGCATTTCCCCTGCCCTCTTCAGGCTTCAGAGCAGGGGTACCCAGACTAGTACATCATCTATACTGTAGTGTCTCATCACAAACTTACAGTATATGATGATATCCCAGCCAGAGTCCTGTAGGTGATAGGTGACCATGAGGAAGCAAGCTTTGGGAACACTGTGGTTATGAAAACTCAGAGGCTAAGAACAGGACACGGCAAGGCTAGAAACATAGCTTTCCCCCTCCCTGCTGCTCAGCTCCCTCCCAGGCCAGCATCTGTTTGATTCTATGGTCATGTTCAGCACAAGTGGCTTAGAACGGTATTGGCCTAATAAAGCCTCTGCAAAGCTAAGCAAGCCAGAGCTAGCAAACTGAAACAGAATGTTTCCTTAGATCAGAACAACAAGCACAACCCAGAGAGGAGCACATACCTGGAGATGGAGCTATAGACTGGGGAAGCCCTTGGGTGTAAGGGGGAAGTCCAGTCTTGTCTCTTTCTCTTTACTCAAGCTGCTTGCCTTTTAACCCATTGGTTCCTCCCCTGGGTGGGGCAGTTTTCCTCTGCTTCTAAAAGGCCCTCCCTCTTAACCCTTCCCCTGCTGGACTTCATGGAACTAGAGTCACTGGCTCCTCTAGCTGTTGTGTTTTTTTGTTTTTTGTTTTTGTTTTTCCTAGGGCTTGAACTCAGGGCCTGGGCACTGTTCCTGAGCTTCTTTTGCTCCAGGCTAGCACTCTACCACTTGAACCACTGTACCACTTGCGGATTTTTCTGTTTATGTGGTGCTGAGGAATTGAACTCAGGGCTCTGTTCATGCTAGGCAAGCGCTGTAACACTAAGCCACATTCCCAGCCTATTCCTGTTGGTTTTTGTGTTTTGGTATTGGTGCTGGTTTGAACTCAGAGCCTCATATTTCTTCAGCGTTTTTGCTCATAGCTAGTATGCTCTACCATTTGAGCCATGCCTCCAGCCTGACCACCCAGCCTCTTGAATAGCCAGGAATTACACATGTGAATTACAGGTTTGCTTATGTGGTGTGGTACTGGTGATCCAGTTTCAGGCTCTGGTGTATGCCAGGCAAACCCACTGAGCTATACTTCCAGCCTGCCTCCATTCTTTTAAATGAGAGAATTTTACTAAACCTAATCCCTTGATTTGTGTGTGTGTGTGTGTGTGTGTGTGTGTGTGTGCAAGCACTACCACTTAAACCACAGCTCCACTCCCAGCTTTTTGATGGTTAATTGGAAATAAGAGTATCAGTCATGGACTTTCCTGTCTAGACTGGCTTTAAACTGTGATCCTCAGATCTCAGCCTCCCGAGTAGCTAGGATTATCTAAGATTAGGCATGAGCCACCAATACCTAGCAAGATTTGGTTTGGTTTTGGTGCTAATGAGGAATGTTTGGTGAATCTCTGTAGGATAGGGAGGGTCACAGCAGTGGATCTTTGTAGAAGAAAGCTCACAGGACCCCTCAACTTAAATTTTCTTAACTAAGACCTGCCGACCTTTATGCTCAGCCCAAAGAGCCAGACCTGGGCAGGTAGAAACTGCCCATTACTGAGTGAAGCTTGCTGAGCTGGGAAATTTAAAAGCAGATGAGTCCCAAGAGTGGCTAAGACACATGAACACACACACACACACACACACAGTGGCTAGGGACCTCACACACACACACACACATAAACACACACACAGTGGCTAGGGACCTCACACACACACACACAGAGTGGCTAGGGACCACACACACACACAGAGTGGCTAGGGACCTCACACACACACACACACACACACACAGTGGCTAGGGACCTCACACACATACACACACACAGTGGCTAGGGACCACACACACACACACACACACACAGAGTGGCTAGGGACC